GTCTCCATAAGGGATCTTCAATCCCGTGATTCCGAGGGTTATTTTTGGCATCCCACCTCCCGCGCATACTTTTAATCCCGAATCTCGACCCGATTTTGCTCTAAAATCCCGAATCCCGATTTTCAATCCCGTAATCCCGAGGAATATTTTAGGCATACTACCTCCCGGGCATACTTTTAATCCCGAATCTCCCCCCGATTTTGCTTTAAACCCCCAAATCCCGAGTTTCAAATAAGGGAAATCCCCGATCCCGAAAAACCTATTGAGGACACTCTTAAAAAACAGTTTCTGAATCTCGCATTCAGTGTGTTTCGAATACTCGCTCTACCTTTGAGTATCTAAATCAGTCGCAACTAACTTTAAACCGGTTGGGCCAGAGGTCAAACGCAGGCAAACGCTAACGCTTTGAACTGTGGTGACTTAAGAGGAAGTTAACCCATACCCTCCAATCTGCACGAGTTTTCTCAATGTTTCTTATGAGCCCTGTTGTCTAAATTTCGGCCCTCGGTAGTTTTATATGGCTTCTGTTTTCTAACTGAATTTTGAGTTTTTTTATGTATCGAAAAAACGAAACAAACAAACAAGAAACATTTTTCTATTTTCCAGGAGACACAGGCAAATTTTGAAAATTCATCAATCCGTCCTTCGAGACAGAGTGGGAATATAGGCTGCAAAACCCCTAGGGATTCTTATTACTGTTTAAAAGGTTGGTACAAAGTATCGTGCTAAGCATTTCGTTGTTATTAATATCTGCGAAAACGTTACACCTAACGTACAACATCTAAGACGAAAGGAAAAATAACACACCAAACATGAAACCTGACAGTAAGTACATTACAATGGCTAAAAAAAAATACAAAGGGCTGTCATGAATCATAAAAGAGATCTGGGTGGGTGGAAGGGAGGGAGAAAATGATCCGCTAAGATGAGACTGCTCTGCTCTGAGTATGCAATGATTAGAAATATCCCTGAGTTTCCGTACCAATCTCTATCTTCGGCTACACTCACGCTGTACGCGAAAAAAAAAAAATGACATCTGATTAAAACTTACCATTGGCCCTTGACGAGAGCTTGCAAAATCCAGGCTGACACATGTTCTAAAAATAATATATAGATTTAGCCAGGGCTAAAAGCGAAGCTCTGGTTATTAATACTTGTAAACAAAAAAAATTTAATCGTGTAATGCTAAACGGGGAGGGCAATGAAAATGGCATCAAGATCAATAGATCTAATTAGCAAAAAAACAAGTTAAACGTGAAGCACACATTTTTGCCTAATTAGCAAAAAACAAATTTGCACGTGCAGCAATCACCTAACTGCGACAATGAAGCCCGTTTTACACCTCTTTACCCTCGCTAACTCGAACCTCGCGCCAACTCGAACTAAAATCGAGTTCTTCTGGATTTCCGTCATACATTCACTGTAATTTTACCCTCGGTAATTCGAACCCTCGATAACTCAAACTCCCGCTAACTCGAACCAATTTTCGTTTCCCCTCAGGTCATTTTCTATATAATTTTACCCTTGATAACTCGAACCATGTTTTGAGCCCTTAAAAATTCGGGAAAAAAGCCGTCTACTGGCGTTCGAAACATTGAATTTTGGATTTGTTATTGATCTGGGTGGGTGAGACTGCTCTGCTTTAAGTATGCAATGATTAGAAATATCCCTGAGTTTCCGTACCAATCTCTATCTTCGGCTACACACACGCTGTACGCGAAAAAAAAAAAAAACGACATCTGATTAAAACTTATCATTGGCCCTTGACGAGAGCTTCTCAAACTCATTAATAATTCATTAAGAAAATACAAAGGAAATTAATGTTTAATGAGTGCTTGGAAATCGGATGAAACACTGCTTAGTATTTGCATCCTTAATTTCTCCTTCAAAAATGATTTTGTTTGAGAAGAAATATCAAACATTCGACACAGTGTTTCATCACCAGATGAAACACCTCGAAGTTCGTCAAAAATACTCCGCTGCGCGTCGTATTTTCAACTCTCTTCTCGGTGTTTCATCTGGTGATGAAACACTGCATCTCATGTTTGATATATTACTTGCAAAACCCAGGCTGACACGCAACAGCACGCTTTTTGTCTTTCTTTGCCGTTGTTTTGCACAACTACAACGCTGTTTTGCAGGACTAAAATGTCAAACTTCCTAGTTACACATTATTTTTATGGAGGAATTGCCGTATGTGCTTACCCAATATTTTGTCTCGTGTGTTCATGTTCGCTTTTATTTTTCACTGCCGCTCATTTTCACCTTGCTGGCCGCTAGCAGTTTTCATTGTCTCACAGCCGATTTGAATTTCCATGTTTTTCTTCCTACAAAATTCGTCCTCTTTTGTTTTCAATCACTCGCTCTAGCTCTTTCTCTGTTATCCACGTGAGTGTAAACATCAAAAATAACGTCGAAAAAGACACGACTTTGTTGTTGTTTTTTCTTTCTAAAAGTCCGGGCGGCTATGAGATTTCTTTTCAAAATTATTTTACATTGTTATGCCTGTGGTGTGGACTAGGCTTAGCCACAAGTTGCTCAGCAACTTTTTAGAATTTTGGCAACTTTTAGAATTTTCGGCAACTTTGGGCTTTTTGAGGTTCTTTGAAGCTACTTTCTTCACGTTTTGAGCCACATTGGTCAGTTTTCGATAGACATTTATTCAATTTATTCTAAAATACAATAATTAGGGCCTAAGGCCTTGGGTTGATTTTTGTGATGCCTTATCACGAGGTCAGCGGTATCACGTTGCACGTCTTTCAAGATGGCGGACAATTACCATGTTTTGTTGATGTCATTCTGATAGACTATTTGTTGATCAAGTGAAATGGAAAGAACCTCTGATATTATCATTGGACTATGACAAATAAAGTTTTGATAAGAAACACTGTGCGAATTTTTAATCTTTAACACCCCAAAAAGGTACGAAAAGCAGAAAAATTTTGGCAACTTTTCTGCAACTTTTTGGAAATTCAGCAACTTTTTGGCAACTTTTAGACACTTTTATCGGCAACTTTTTTGGGATTCATCGGCAACTTGTGGCTAAGCCTAGTGTGGACGGACAGTCAGGCGGTCGGTCGGTCGGTTGGTGTACGGTCACGTGATTACCAAATTTTATCCGATGGGTACTTTACCACATTTCTTTACCCATGGTGCTCCGCTGCGCGCGCTTCACGCGCGAGAGCTCTGCTATAAACTGTTCAAGGACCTTCAAGGATGCCTGACCCCTAATCCTGGTTAACGATTCGTAATGTCTCATGATTATGAAAAACTGAAAACACAATGGCAAGTTTCTTTTGTATCCGAGTATATTGTCATTACATCTGTTCGCAGTTGGCAAGCAAGTTAACTACTAGCCTGAGACCGGAAAGACACTCAGGTTCAAATCAAGTACCGCATTTATTCGAATAAGCGCCCAATAAGTGCCCATCCTAAAGGCAGAAAAAGTTAACAAGCGCTCACCCGACCTCACCTCCCTCCTATTCCCAGTCAAACTCGAATAAGCGCCCACTCCCACCGCCCCCTTCCCGTTCCCACCCCGCAAAAAATTGAATACGTACTAATAAGAGACTTCCCCGAAGACGGAGTTTTGTTCAGAGTATTTTACAGAAACCTTGCTTTGTTACATATTCGCGTTTTGTTATTACCCATGTTTTGTTGCATAATAAACATACTACACTTGCTTAGATGGTAAAAATGTAATAAGCGCCCACTCTCAAGGACCAAAAATGTAATAAGCGCCCATGGCGGTTAATCGAATAAATACGGTATTTGATTCCGCTTAATAAACCAAAATATCTTAGATAGAAAAAGGAAGCACAGTTAGGAACCTTTGACCCCGTCTCAGCTCTGTTTTCTGTAAACATTATTTAGAATAAAATCATAATGTGTTTCATGTGTTGATGAATGCTTAAGGTTTTTTAATACGGAGAGTTTGAGGACAAAAAAGCCACACAACGCAGAATGAATCTTGGCAACTACTTCTTCTCGTGGTTCTTTTGATAAATAAGATGCACATAAATCAGACTTGTCACTCGTGGTTAGAATGGACACGTACACGTGTCTCACTAAATCAAATCGATTGAAAACGGAAATCGTGAATAAGAGTTTCTACTACTCTTTACTTATTTTTGAAATACTCTCCTTATCGATTTATCCGTATCACAGAGGTCCGTTTTCTGGGCGCCCATGTAAAACACACTGAAAAAAGTCAGGGGCCCGTATGCCTAAGTGGCGTCCCCACAGCTTCCCCACAACAGGATTCAATAAGTCTTTGTGGCTTTTTAACTTGGCTCCCAGATTTGGTTGTAAGGTGAGAGTGTAAAAGTGTTCATGTTAACCTGTCCGTTAATTTCACTGGGGTTTTACTAGACTTTCAGTTGCCAATGGTCTCATTTCACTATTAGAAGGAAACCGCTCCTTTTCATTCACGTGGCCGACAGCTATGTACTTTTCATGGAACAAAAGAAAGTTTCTACACGAGGAAAGCGTCCAACTGGATTCCGGATTCCAATCGATAGTGGGATTTCGGATTCCTTGAGCTATAGTCCGGATTCCAAATCCACGATTCTCGATTCCACAAGCAAAAAATATTCCGATTCCGGAATTGGCTTGGTAAGCCAACATGGCCACCGTTTGTTTTGTACAACAATATGGACGCCATTTCAATGTTTTGAATGACAATTCATGGCTGCTGTTTCGTTGTTTTATTTTATGACATATAGCCGGGGTGACGCCGGGTGCGGTTCCTAGTGTTTGTTTTCGATGTCAGAGGCAAGTGTATTCCTTCGGTTTTGAAGGTCAGTCTGGAAAGCAGTAAGATGGACGTCAGGATGGACGTTTTGAGCTCCCGCTTCTTACCTTAATGAGTCGTTTTTCTACTGTCCTTTTGTTAATAATTTTCACTTAAATCATGCCAAAAGAGTCAGTTACTTCACTAAAGCGACAAAATCAAGATTTAAAGGATAAGAGAGGTCGACGCCCTTTCCAAGGAAATAACGCAGCTGAAAGAGAAGGTTCGGGTGGATTCCGCTATTACCTTTGGTGCTGAAGCAGCTGCTACCTCTGGTAATAGCAATAATAATGCTTCGAATGATGAAACCGTGTCTCGTAGTCTACAATATCTGAGCGACGAAGACGACGACCTGTCGGCGTCTAATTCTGGTGTCGTTGATCAACTCAAGGCATTAACCGGTCGTCTTAATAAGCTTAGCGCTGAAGTCACACGTGTTGGCAACGCCATTGACGAGGTTAAGGAATATAGCTACCAATTTAATGTAAAAATAATTGGCCTGCCAGAGAAAAGCAGTGAAACCGCAGCTGAAACAAGCGCCCGGTGAGTAAAATTATTCCTGGAGATGGGGCCAGAAGTGGTCTGTCGGACATTGACATCGCTCATCGCGTCCCCTCGAGGCAGCAAAATGGCGCTCCGAAACCCATCACCTGTTGTTTGAAGCGAAGAGAACTAAAGAACAGAACCAGTACCGCTTCTGCTGGGCCAAGAATTCCACTATTTATTTAAGTAAGAGTGAGGTTTCCCGACCAATAAAGATAACAGACATTGGTAGTCTACAGCGACTTGCCTCGGAGACCAGACATCATCAGTTCGATAAGTATCTGCTATAATCTACCTTAGTTCTCTATTCATGAGTGCTAACGATCAAAACTCTCGCGATACTCTATCTTTATTGCGTGAGCTCCCATATTTTGGGTTAAATGTAAACTTAGCTAATGGTCAATTTAATAATTGTTTACCTTCCCATTTGCCGGCTAAAAAATACCTAGAAAAACTCTAGCATTTATGACCTTAATCTTTTCAGGCTAAACGCACTTGAAGACCCCAATCCCGGTTATAGTCTCTGTAATAATCGTATTTATACTAGTCAATGGCATTCCCCATATAGTTTCTACAAAATTAAAAGTGAACTTCCCAGTCGTGTCAATGATTCGAGCTTCTCCCTTTTACATAATAATATCAGGAGTCTTAACCGAAACCTTGAAAACTTTCAAGTTCATCTATTGGACGACTTGAATTTCGAATTTTGCATTATAGGAGTCTCAGAAACTAAAATAATCAGCCGGAAAGAAATGGATTTTAATCCAAGCATAGCTGGATATGTTTTCGAATATGTTCCGACACCTCTAGCGTCTGGAGGTGTTGATTTGTATATCAATGATTCCCTGAAATATACTGTCATTGAAAACGTATCTGATGACGCCTTCTAGTCATGATCACTCGGGATCGAAATCCATCTTCCGCAGAAAAGTAACATCATTTGTGGTATCATATATAGACAACATAACTCTCCCAAACGCTTCCAAAAATATTTTGATGATAAACTTGAAAGACTAATTACCTCAAGCAAATCAATATATATTATGGGCGACTTCAACATAAACCTCCTTCATGCCGCAACTTCCTGTTATGTTCAGGACTTCTTACTTTCTCTGCAAAGCTTTTCATTTATCCCAACTATTGACAAACCAACAAGTATTTACAATAACTCAGCCACCTTAACTGATAATGTTGAAACAAACAAAGTTTATGTTGAAATTACCAGTGAGAATATTATCTCTGACATAAGTGATCACTATGCACAATTCTGTATTTCTCACAATTTTATTCAGAGGCCAAAACCCGGAAAGAAAAAACGCAGAGACTTTTCTGGTTATTCCAGGAGCAAGTTCAACTCTGAACTCTCTGATGCTTTGGTAAGCCAAACTAACTTTAGCGATCAGTTTGATGTCGATACTGCTTTTTCGTACTTTTACAATACACTGTTGGCACTCGTTGACAAACATGCTCCTTTGAAGATTGTTTCGAATCTTCAATAACTACTTTTCTTCGGTCGGTAAAAACCTAGCTTCACGCGTACCTCGTTCATCTCGCTATTTTACCGAATACTTTTCTGCCAATTATAATTCAAGCTCTTTTTTCTTTGTTCCAGTTACGTCAGCGGAGATTGAGCATGAGATACTTTTGATCCCTAAGAATAAAACTTACGGTCTCTACTTTTGTCCGATTCGCATTTTAACTGACGCAAGATGCGTTATTTCGGACCCTCTCTCCATCATCATAAACATATCTGTGCAAAATGGCATCTTCCCATCCAAACTGAAAAAGGCGAAAGTTGTTCCTGTGTACAAAAATGACTATGAGACTGAGCCTGGTAATTATCGTCCGATATCATTACTGTCTATTTTCAATCGGATATTTGAAAAATTCATGTACCACCGCCTCAAATCCTTTCTTGGTAATAACGATATTCTATTTTAGTAACAGTATGGCTTCCGCGAAAACCATTCCACGCAACATGCCATTATTGACATCTTTAATGTCATACAAAACAATATGGGACACTTTTCACTTGCGGGCTCTTTTTAGACTTGTAAAAGGCCTTTGATACCATACCATATGGTGTCCCACAAAGGTCTGTACTTGGTCCTCTGTTATTCTTAATCTATATCAACGATATTCACAACTCTTCAGCAAAATTCTCGTTCTATCTCTTTGCTGATGACACGAACTTGCTGATATACTAACACTAACTTGAAATCTCTTTTAAAAACCGTCAATAGCGAGCTGCTCAAAGTCTCCGACTGGCTCAATGCAAATAAGTTACCGCTCAATGCTGAAAAGTCAAACTATCTTATCTTTCGTCCATATCAACGTAAGTTTAACTACTCGGTTAACATTGTGCTCATTGATCACTGTACTCAAATTTCTACCACGCTTCACTGTAAAGACCATGTTACATAGCTTGGTGTCCTATTGGACAGCAATTTAAGCTGGAAATTTCATATTAATAATGTTGCATTAAAAGTAAGCAGAACTGTTGGAGTTGTTGCCCGTCTTAGGCACTTCGTCCCACGTACAACCCTTTTCAATATTTATCAATCATTGATATTACCTTATCTGACATACGGTTTGCCGACTTGAGGTCAAGCTGCCTAAACCCATTTACAAAAAATTCTCGTCCTTCATTTGATGTATTTTTCTGAGCCCAGACCCCATGCTGTGCCTTTATTTATTTCCCCCAAAATTCTACCCTTACAAATGTTATATGCTGAAAAAGTATCTTCTATAATGTTTGACGTCTCCTGCATGAATGCTCAGTCTAACATCTGTGATTTCGTCACTAAAGCTATTTCAAAGCACAAGCATGAGACCAGGTTTTCTTCGTCTGGAAATTATTAAGTCCAATCTTCAAGACTGAATCTAAATCAAGATTCTTTTTCCAGGTTTGGAGCTAAACTTTGGAACGTAATTCCTAACGAATTTCGTCAGCTCTCCAAAGGACCTTTTAAAAAATATATATTTCATGAATTTTTCTTCTCGAGAATGGATCGAAGCAGTGGACGATTAAATTGAAGTGCCCATTCTCCTACAAAAAAATTGTAAATTCTGCGGCCACGACTCAATGCACTAATAATTGAAACAGGTTCTGTGAGTAATAAATTTGTCTTGTAATTCCATTCTGTAAGACTATTTTGTAACTTTAGCTTGTTGATTTCGGTCATTCTTATTTATCCACATAGTTTATTTAGGTTACTTTACAATATCGTCTGTTATGACTGCTGTAACCTTTCCTCTCCGCTCGCCTCGTCTAGCTTTTGCTATTTGCGGGCGAAGATGGCAAAATTATGAGTATGAAAATAAAGTATAGTGTGTGTGTTTTGAAGCCTAGTGCGACCTGTCATGCACGGCAAGCAGTATTCAGTTGAGCCCTTTTCTTGTATCAAGCAACACGCCTCACCACCTAGTAACTTCCACCCCGGACCCCGGTAATTGATCGGATAACAGGATTTCAGTAACAAGAAAATGTTAGAATTTTTAAAACCTCTTTTTTTCGTGACTCGGTCTGGCTTTTTGAAGGACTTATACCTGTGGGGCTAAAAATATTCTATCAGAAGAAATCGCACCACTTCACCTATCAAGTATGCATTTCCTGCGAGCCCTGCCACATCCGCTTATATCCTTATCGCAATCTCAGGAAGTGCTGACCTTGTTGTATCACTACATTCTAGGCTCGTTTTCTTAGCAGTTAGCTCCGAAAAAATGATTATACTAGAATCCTTAATATTTTCTTGGTATTAAGAAGGGTCAGTCATGCTTCCAAAGACACCGATCAAAGCTTTAATTTTCCTCTTAGTAACTTTAATGTTTATAACGGAGAGCCAGTCTTGGAGGCGGCGTTATTGGTGTTCATCAGTGAACTGTCGGGTCAGCTCTTGGTCGACTTGGTCACAGTGCAGCGCTTGGCAGTGTGGAACCGCTGGTAACCAACAAAGGACAAGGCGCGTGATTACCAATCCAAGCTGCGGTGGGGCCAGCTGTCCCTCCAACATGGTAGACAAAAGAATGTGTTACGGAAATACCCCAATTAACTGCCAGGTCAGTTCTTGGTCTTCATGGTCGGTATGCAGCACTGTGCAGTGTAGGAAATCAGGCTTTGAACAGCGATCACGCTATATAATTAGGTATTCTATTTGTGGAGGAACAGCTTGCCCCTCCACGTTGCAAGAAACCAGGATCTGTTATGGAACTAAACCGTCTGCATGTATCTATTCCACATGGTCGACATGGAGCTCGTGTCCAGCATTCCGGTGTGGAGAAACTCAAACAAGCAGTAGACAGATTGATGCAAGAGAGCAATGTGGGGGAACACCATGTAATATCACGGCCTTAAGCAAAACTAGAGCTTGTAAACAAACATTTTGCGTCAACCAGGGAACTTTATCAGACGGGAAATGTTACTGCAAGTCGGGTTTTCATGGTAGCTGCTGTCAGTATAGTAGTAAGTATACTTGCATAATTTATCCCAATCAAAAGGCATTTTCAGTTTCCGAATTTCTTCTAATTTCTAATAGTGAGATGCGTTATAATACGAAACACTCACTTTTAAAATCGAATGGATTTTTTGAAACATTAAGGAATATCTTGGATCTTCAAAGCAATCTGCAGTTTCACTGTGCTGCATCATTCAAAGGCAACGCTAAAATATAGCCCTATAATGACCTCCGAAATGGCATAATCTCTTTCCTTTATTCCACGGCGGAACAGGAAGGGAAAAAATAAAAACAACAAAAAGCAAGTTCAATTTTTCTAACATCAAATGGTTCTATTGTTGGATATATTAACATTACAGGATCCGTAAACAATTCCCCCGTTGTTAAATAAAATACCATGACCACATTAGAGGAGAGGAGTTGAGTTCGCTGGTGCATTTTCCGCGGCCGAGTAGGAGAGAGGAGCAAGAGTTTGCTGGTTCAATTTCCGGAATCGAGTGGGAGAGAGGAGCGGGAGCTTGCCGGTTCGATTCAAGGCACCGGACTAATACTTTCTTCTCTCTTTCCCCTTCCCATCGTGCCCCGAGCGCTCTCTTTTTCTTTTTCCCAGGCCTCCCCACAACACAAAGAGGCCTCTGCAGAGGAGAGAGGTTTACAACTATTGTGGAAAGATGGCTATCTATTTCGCTCTTCTCGATCTCCGAGTTGCAATCCTCTTTCTGGCTGTCGTACGTATCTCATCCGGTCAAACCATCCCGCCATGCAAAAACAATGATTGCTGTCAAAAGGCAAAACATCAAGAACTTAACAGTTCTCGTCGCAGTACGCTGAGTCACTACAAGTCAGGCCAGGTTCCGCTATGCGACAAAGGTCTGAAAGCAGGATGGTACCGATTTACCAGCTTTGTCGGTGGCGAAATGCCTACCACAAAAGTCGACGAAAATCGTTGTGGAACCCTCCATCCAATTTGGCTGAGAACCCCGACTGGCACGCATCCGCGTCCTTCCACCAAGGCTGCTCCGGTGACAGTCACGGCATGCGTCAACATCAATGAAAGAAATGGCGGTTGCTTCCATTCCTTCAACGTAGGCGTCAAATTTTGTCCAGACAACTATTTCGTCTACTATCTTGCACCGATGCCTTCATGTAGCATTGCTTATTGCGCCGGTAAGATTTCCTTAAAAGCAGTAAACAAGTGAACAGTGTTTGAAGGCGAAACGTCCACGGTAAATTACTGGCCTGTAAAAGTTACAGTTTTAACATCCACTTGGCGCCAACTTCTAGAGCTGTTTCCTACCGGGAAAAATCCCTGCGATCCTAAGTTCAGTGAAGTTATTCCCCGGGGGTACCCTTTTAATGTAATATGGGGGTGTCTCGCTAAGTCTTTGAGACTCTGGACCTGTTCCAGACCCATGGACGACGAGTGAGGCGTAGTTTTGCACCAAAGCTGGATCTCCTCTTCCGGAGATCAAGGGCATTCTTATACGCTATTCCAGGTTAGAAAGGCAAAAGCATTTACGCTGTTGATTGGCTTATAGCCCATATGTGGGATTAGCCCCCCCTCCCCCCCCGGGACAAGCTAATTAAGAGATGACGTGCACCTACAGTCACCAGTTTTCGTCAGTTGTATTACCTTCGTGTAAAAGGGGAAGGGATGCGTTTATGACTGTTTGTGTGTGTAATTTACAGTGTGCCTGGAGTGTGACTGTGTGATTTTGTAAACGCTCCTCACGTCAACCGTTAACCTAATAGTTGCGTTGATAATTACTAATTAACTATTTGGTATCCTTTCCTACTTCATGGAAAGTCGGTTTAATACTTATATTTTGCCTTTGAAAGGAGGCGGTATTATAAAAATTCGGCTTTTGGGAGGAATGATACAATTGACCACCAAGGTTTGTTCGACGGAGTCTAAATAGAGTGAGTTGAAGTATTGACTCAATGAAAAGCAAAAAATTCAGTTAGCATGATAGCTTGCACGTCTCGAGGCTTAAGTGTTTATCATTTCCAACAATATCAACATATGGATGGTTTGCTATACTCCACTCGGATAGCGTTTAAGATATTTGTTTTTTCTTTTTTGTCACCGCCTAGATATTTTTCATAGATGGGCGTGGAAATTTCTAGAGTCCCAGATGCATATAACAGATATAGATTCGAAAATTTCAAAAAGAAGCCGAAGCTATCCATGCAAATTTCCATGTAACGCTGGCATATGCATTCGCTTTACCAATTTTAAAGATTTCAATTACTGCAAATCGCCTATGAACAACTATATTGACGGCTTCGCCTTTCAAAGGGGTGGAAAAACGAAGAGACAGGCAGTCTGTCGACTCAGTCTCGCGTCACGCACTTTGTACTGCTTCTCGTCCGCTCGAGTAGGAGGTTCTTGTACACACTGTAGAACTGCTTGCAGCGTAGCACAATATTGATCGAATGCTTCGTGCTTGTTGAATTGTAAAACAAGTATGTAAACAGCTCTACAAAACTTGAAAGAAAATGTTGATTCAGCAATAGCCTTGATTTCTCGTCTTGATGTGCTTCCTTCTTTACGTTATGGCTCTGTAATTGCTCTTGCAGGGCCACGGAGTTGATTCCTCTCGGCTTGCGGAAATCTCGCTATGACAAATATCCTGACGATAAGGCGCGCCACGGCAAAACTTAAAAAGTCGCTATTACATGGACACGCTCGCAATTGCGGGCATCCGGACACCTTTGCAGGTCTTAACAGCACAATTCCATCGTTCTGACTCTCATTGCGACGGGCATTGAGGGTGGGGGCTAGCGATAGACCTCTTTCATAATGGCGGCTCATTTATTTATTCTTTGATATGTATATAAATGAGCCTTTCTCGTCTCGTTTGAAAGTAAGAATTCTTTGTATATTGCACCTGCTAACAGTGAGAAAGGCTAATTATCATACATATAGAGGAATATATTGATAGGCCGCCACTATGGAAGAGGTCTACGGCAGTATTGTTACACTGCGGCATTTTAATAACGAGTTTGCTTTTTACAGGGAATGGAAAGCCATGCCCTTATGGACAATCAGGAAATTCGTTAAAAACATGTTCGGGTAAGTTAAAGTTCATTATCTGTTGCTGAGTGTTTGAAAAACCTGGCCTTTGTGCGGAAGCGCGGCTATAATAAAAGTCCTTACATTTCATATATGTATGCGAATTTCTGGATTTCTGGCATCCATCGTAAATAAATAAAAAAAGAACGAATTAATAACAGTTTAACGCAAGGGTACAAGGGATAGAATTTGCGCACAAACCTAAAAGACATAAAATAAAACTCGAACCCTTTTCCAAGTTTCCTTGGGTTTAAAGTCCACGAGACGGTTAGTTCTGAGAAAACCATCATCTCACATATTCAGGTAGGCGCGTAACCGGGTAATGTATGACGTGTACTAGCGTTTCAGACACGCTGAAACTCCTCCTCCATGTCCTCCCTCATCCCTCGCGAAAAGCTTGTACACATCTCTTGACACACTAGAACCTTCTGGAACTTAGGAAAAAATAAAGGAAGAGCAATCATGTCACTTTAAACTTGTCATGTCATTTTTGTTTCAAATTACAGTCATTATTTCTGATTGCATTACTGTTTATTGATATAATATTGTTATACTTTCGTTCAGCTTCACCGGTGAAGTTTCCTAGAAGCTACTTGAGCCGCCCCAATATTACACATAAAGATGAAAAGGGAGCAAGGGTCAATCTCGTCTGCAAAGTACCCATTAATCCCACGATAATGCAATGGAAGAATGTCACATACGTTGTTCACTGGTATGCGGACGGAAAGCATGTATACACAGAGCCACAATTTTGTAAACCTACTAACGAAAGTGCGGGAGCGAACGACCAACCATGTCCAAATAAGACCGAAATTCGCTCTTATCTCAGAGGAGTTGGTAAAAACTATTACCCAGGACAATGGGTAAGTAATTTTGTGTGGGTAATTTTTTCAGTTTTGTATTGTTATAATGTTTTTTTTATCGTTACCTTTAAAAACATAAAATGATCTGGAAGATTATGACGTCGTCAAAGTGCAAGGTCAACCACCGTCGTAGCCGTAATAGAAGATTGAGGCACTCCATTCCAAAGTCAATTTCAACACTGGAAATGAAAAAACTAATAATTGCGCGAGACAAGAGGAGCCTGCAATCCTAACCTTCAGGTTGTTATTACGCATGCGTCTCATGTGTGTAGCCAGCATTCCTTTGGACTTCCACTAAGAATGTAAGGAATGCATAGAACGCATTTTGATCGCTCGCATTTGGACCTTCTATGACTCCTAATCTGATCACGCGTGTTTTGACCATCTGTCACGTGAAACTTACGCAAGGCACTGCGCTGGAGAAAAAGCGTTTTGCCCCTCGATCGTTGTCGTGCGCACTCCGTAACCTTTGGTTACTATTAGTAATTGCGTTCGAGATACGATAACGCAACACCTAATTTGTGTTGGGTGTTCTGGGCATTATTGGGTTCCCCTGTGCAATTAATAAAGGAGGTTTTTCGAGATTGCATTTGTCGTCGTCGTCGACACACAGTTGCCTCGCTTTGAGGTGCTTGCTTACGTTTTGCCTCACTTTGGCGAACTAACTCACGTGGTGATTCGTGCGTCCTCAAGCTTTTGCTGAGGTCTTTATTCTGTCTTTTCGTAAAGCTTTCTCATCTTTTAAAAGTTTGCTGAATCTTCGTAAAGCGTACATATTTAAAGAGTTTGCTGAAGGTCTACTATCGACCTGTGTTTGCTGAATCTTTCAAAACGTTCATCTTTCAAAAGTTTCGGCGGCCGTTGTGCCACAAAGTAAATCTACCGAGTTGTGCAGCTCGGCGGCCATTGTGCCACAAAGTAAACCTACCGAGATGTGAGGCTCGGCGGCGCCGTTTCATCATGACTTGTGATATTTTTGGCACCGGACAAGCGAACAGTTTAGGTCTATGTTATTTATTCGGAAAAACTTAGAAACAGCCCACAGTAGCTCCACTCAAGTCACTGAAATCAACACACGCGACCTAACTACTGCACTTATTGAGACGGACCATACGATATCATTAGCCTTCAAGGCTTTTTCATAATGATACACAGTTTAAATAGAGGTTTCGCTGTAAGCAATCCTTACGTATAAAATATGCCATGATTAAATTAAAGCTAAATTAATGATCATATGAAACCACTCTCCCGTGATGGCAGCGATAACAATAGCTGAGATATAAAAAGTCCTATCTCAGCGATCGTTGTCGCTGCAATCGCAGAGAGAGTGGTTTCCATATGATCGGTGAACTTTTTTTTTTCTCAGCGACCGCAGCGATCACAGCGATAGTAGCGATCATATGGAAACCGGGCTTAATCTATCGTAATAACCATCCACCCTTCCTCCTCAACTGCTACGTGTACGCTTTACAAACATATCGAACGCACTCTTCTAAGCTCCAATTACTCCTAGTAATTGCGTTCGAGGTACGAGAACGCAACCCCTATTTTGCGTTGTGTGTTTTATGTATTATTGGGTGTCCTGTGCAGTTAATAAGGGAGGTTTTTTCGAGATTGCATTTGTCGTCGACACACATTTGCCTCGCTTTGAGGCGCTTGCTTACGTTTTGCCTCACTTTGACGGGCTAACTAACGTGGTTATTCGTGTGTCCTTAGCCTGTTCACAGACCCTCTATTTTCTCTTCAAAGTTTGTCGAGCGCACGTGATAAAAAATACACCGCGGGGGATTTATTGACCGCCAGCGCAAAGGTGTAGGGGTGGGGGAAGAAGAAAATAGACGGTCTGTAGACATCTTTGGGAGCGACTGAAACTTTCTTTTCCCAGGAAAGGCAAATTACCATTGGCTGAACGGCGATTATCCTGTCATCATCATGTCAACGAGTCATCACGCTCGCGTCATCAGACTAGAAGTGATTTGGGACTTTAAGATCCAACGACGCGGACGACAACGAGAACGTCAAGAAAACAATTGGTTTAATTAGCAAAGCAACAACTTCGCACGTGCATCACACTTTTTTGTACATTTCTTTCCCGTTTTTGCACGACTACGACTTTAAAATGCCTAATTTCGCGTTTTATGGAGGACGGAAACAACCAACGACGAAATTTTATTTCTCTTTCTGAGCTTGAATTTTGTCCCTTGAAATTCAGCTTCAGGAGGGTTCGCCTACAATGGACAAAGTAAGTGGGTAGGAATAATCGCTATAAAGACTGAAATAACGCAAATTCATTTTTTCAGCGACGTTCTTGTCGCCGTCGCGTCGTTGGGTCTTAAAGTCCCTTTTGTTACTGCCTGGACGCGCTAACCGCGACACTTACTACTGCATTTGCATGAAAAAAATAACATCGATTGCGACTCGGGATGCAGTCATAATACAAGTTTGTGTTGAGCATTCTTTTGTTTTGGAGTATGGACTATGGAAAGCGTGCTTGACGATTGTTTGGCGCAGTTTTCAAGCAAAAACGCGCTCAAAGAAGAGCAGCACCATGCTGTTTTCGGTTTACTGGGCCGAGTAAAAAGGATGTTGTGGCGGTTCTTTCCGCAAGGATTTTGGGAAAAGTTTAATTTACCAGTTGTTCGCACAGTGAAACACAAACAAAAAGAAAAGAACGTGGTATTAGTTGCATCGTAATTACAAAGTATTATTACCCGATCTGACCAGTTTGGTGGATTTCGTAAATCGTAAAAAAGCTGGCAACTCCGCTGATTTCAGTATACCCACAATTTCAGAACGCGAAGTTTTAGAAATCATAAAATCACTCCCATCAAATGTTGCAACTGAACTTGATGGAATCAGTTCCCCTTTGTTGAAATTAATCGCCCCTGCAGTTGCTCCAAGTCCAGCAAAAGTAATAAACTGCAGCATAATTAACAGCATCTGCCCTGCTCAACTCAAACTAGCTCGTGTCACTCCGATTTACAAACAGAGGAGTAAAACCGATCTTGACAATTACAGACGTATATCAGTCCTCCCTGTCATTTCGAAGATTCTCGAGAAACATGTCTGCAAACACTTCATTGCTTTTCTCACTAATCACGATTTACTGTAGAAATGCCAATCGTGTTTTAGAGCTAACCACTCCTGCGAAACCATCCTTATCAAAATTACAGATGAATGGCTAGAAGCATTGGATAAAGGCCTCTTTAAGGGTGTTGTTATGATCGATCTGCGCAAAGCTTTCGACATTGTAGACCATAAAATGCTGCTCAAGAAACTTCAGGTGTATGGCTTGAACACTAACTCCCTTAAATGGTTCCATAGTTACCTCAGCGGAAGGTATCAAAAGGTATGTGTTGACCGTAAACTATCTGAACCGCTTGGTATTCACTCCGGTGTACCGCAGGGGAGTATTCTTGGTCCTGCTCTTTTTCTGCTCCTCATAAATGATCTACCTCTAGTACTGAAGAATGATATTGGCATTTATGCCGATGCCTCGACCCTTTATGCATCTGCACCTACCATAGCTAAAGCCGAGGAGAAAATTAGACCTGACATTGACGCGGAATCGATGTGGGCAAAGGAAAATAAAATGAAAATGCATCCAGCAAAGACAAAGTACAGTATAATCTCGACAAGACAAAAAATTGCAAATTCAGCAAAAAAATCTCTTGACCTCTCAGTTGACGGCATGCAACTCGCTAAGGTTGAGTCAGAACGTGTCTTGGGAGTATATATTGCTAGTCATCTCACATGGAACGAACACATTGACACACTGCGCCGAAAACTACTTCAAAGAATAGCAATTTTAGCAAGAGCTCGGAAATATATACCAACCAAATATCGATTGCTTCTCTACAATGCAAGTATCAAACCGCTCTTTCCTTATTCTGCTGTACTGTTTGGAGCAACTGTAGCGAAACCAAATGCAACTTAGATGAACTGTTTAAACTTAAAAAACGTTGCGCTCGATTAATTTTGGATAGTCCTCGGATAGTCTTGGATAGTCCTCGGGATCGTATGATAATTTTCAAAAGCTTAAGTGGCTACCGTACCGCTTGATCAACTATTCAGCTCAATAAACTCGGCCTTTTAAAGAAAGTTCTTGATCGTACGGCACCGGAATACTTAATTACAACCTTGGACTCACTTCGGTTTGAACACAAGTACTCAACCAGAACAAAAACATTATACCGCTTACCGAAACCCAGAACTGAAGCAATGAGGAGAACATTCTTTTATTCCACTATTAAAGAACTAAATGCTCTTAACTTAGAACCAACCACCTCCTTTAGCTTAATGAAGGCAACACAGACTAATAACGTCGCCTCAAACTATACGGTGGACATGCAATTCTAAAGTTAAAAAGTTACCCTGATTTTCAAAAATCCGTGCTTTTTTTAATATCATTGTAGATTGGATTCCCTTTTTTACCAATGTAATCACTTCCGTTTTTACATCTCTCAATTTTTTAAATCTCTAGAATTTTTAAGAACCTTTTATTATAATCACTATTTGTAAATAGGCTTTTTATCATGATTGTTGTAATTTTATTGTTATCAATTTTGTTTTTAAAGGGCCACTAGGGAGGGAGAATACTTGTTTAGAATTTTCAAGATCCTTTATTATAATTACTATTTGTAAATAGGCTTTTTATTACGACTGTTGTAATTTATTATCATCAGTGTTGTTTTTAGAGGGCCACTAGGGAGAATACTTTTTATAGTAATTGGTGTCACCCTCTTAACCCTTTAAGCCCTAACAGTGATCAGCATCAAGTTTCTCCTTGTAATATCAATGCTTTGTAAAACACAGTGGTCATGAGACTCACGGACATGATCACACAAGATGAATTTGCTTGATATTTTATTAACTTTTCCCCACTGCTTCTGTGGGAAATGAATAGGGGTAACAAATGAGAATTCAAATTTTGATCTTAGGGTTTAAAGGGTTAAAATAAAGGTTATTATTATTGTTGAAGCAATGAGAGAAGCTGACATTTCAGCCATTGGATTACCCTGCCTGCCGCGGAACCATGAGGTGATGTGAACATTCTTTCGAAAGCTATCATCGTCGTGCGTGCTTTCTTTAAAGCTAGTTTTACATAATAATATAAAATTCTGCCCAGGAGCTTCAGTCTAACCTTATTACTGTAAGGCGAGCAAACCCTACGTGACTGATCTTCTGTTTGCGAAACGGTAAAATCAAAATTTCTTACAAAAATCCTCCGCCCACTTTCGTTTTGTAAAACCGTCACGAACACCCTCAATACGGATTCACTGTAGCTTTAATACGGGAATGGGATGATTGCCCAGTACTATCGACGTATAACGAGCACCCACATATCCTACAAAAATCCGATGGGCCGATTTGTTTTGGCTTTGGACCTCTTTTAGCCGGCTTTTTTGGCGTTGAAGCAATCAGAGAAGACATGCTTTAACAAACACGCGACTCTGTTTGATCCTTACACTATCAATTTATATCTCAAATATCATTGGTCCAATTTAATTAGTATTATGAAAGCGGAGGTGATAATGATAAGCCGTTGACATGGGGGAGGGACTTAAAGGGACAGTGTCCCGATTATGCGCACGCGCGAGCGTCATCTGTTTTTTCTTCAAAAGACAATAGAACTGTCATATTGACTCGACAAGATTTCCTTCCGGACCGCACCGCCGACAGAGATTTGTTGTTTATATTCTCAAGTAATATTTTAGACTTTCAAAGAAGTCTTTCGTCTTATATAAAAATTTGGCTCGCGGTTCGAAGACTTATCGCGATTTTATCGCTAGCTGGGCCGCCTCACGACCCGAAAATCTCATTCCGCTCGCTTTCAAAACATATTTTCTAATTTGAAACTCGTGTCAGAGGTCAGTTTTTCCAAGTCTAGTAATATCTGCCTGATTTGCTCGCGTTCTAGCCTCAAACGTTTGAAAGACATAAATAAAAATGCAATCTCAACTCTATGAATCATCAGAAAGGTTAGCCAAAAATTATATTATGATTTCATGGCACTAGTTTTTCTAAACATTTAGTGCCTGTTTGTTTGATTTTGTCGGCCGTTAGGGAGATTCATTTAAAAAAGTTTATTAACGCGTCGTTGCAAAACATTCTGCTTCACGAAGCTCCCCTCCACAAGATCTCCTCAGTCACATCAATGTCTCAATGGTTTCTTTCTTACAGTCTTTATTGTTGCCGTTTCATTTCTGCGTATTCCTTTCACAATTATCTGAGCTTGTATGGAAGCTAGCAGAAGAAATAAGCCTTCAATCGGCATCAAAGTGCTTCCAATCTTTTGGCCCTCCGGCCAACGGCAATAAAAGTAACGCCAAAAAATCCAGATTTTGCCCAAATCGAAACTTAACAGGAACAATATATCATTGATCTGTAATCCTGAGAAGTTTTAGTGTCGTATTGAACCCGGTCAAGCGCGATGCAAACGGATTTTTCAAGGTTCTCTTACTCTCCTCGCATCTTTTGATTTCGCGGCATCCTGTCCAAAAATCAAAGTTTAGTGCATGCGCAGTAACGGGATACTGTTCCTTTAATAAAACTCTTTTTTTTCCCAAAAATGTCTACAGACGTTATTTATTTTTCTTTCTCGCGCTCGCCGATGTTTTCCCAAAGAACGAAAAGAAAAATAAAACAACGTCTGTGTACAGGCTATGTGTCCTCAGCGTTCATCTTTCAAACGTTTGATGAAGTCTGCTATTCTGTCTTCGTAAATCGTTCATCTTTTAAAAGTGTGCTGAATCTTCGTAAAGCGTACATATTTAAGAGTTTGCTGAAGGTCTACTATCGATCTATGTTTAATGAATCTTCCAAAGCGTTCATCTTTCAAACGTGTGCTGAAAGTTTACACCCTGAGTAAAATTTTACTTTGGATTAAGCCTTCATATTTTTCTTTGAAAAATGCGTGCTACTCCTGGTGCATGCATCAAACCGGGTTGTTTAGCTCGGTGTCCGTTGTGCCACAAAGTAAATTTACCGGCGAGTTGTGAAGCTCAGCGTCTGTTGTGCCCCAAAGCAAATCTACTGAGTTGTGTAGCTAGCGGCCATAGTGCAACAGAGTAAATCTACCAAGGTTGTGTAGCTCGGCGACCGTTATTCCACAAAGTAAATCTACCGAGATGTGAAGCTCGGCGGCGGCCGTTATTCCACAAAATAAATCTACCGAGATGTGAAGTTCGGCGACACTATTTCATCATGACTTGTGATATTTTCGCACTGGATAAACAAACGTTTTAGCTTTATGTTATTTCTTCGGAAAAACGTGACCAACCCACAGTATAGCGCCACTCAAGCCACTGAAATCAATACATTCGACCAAATTACTGGAAAAGGTATTGACGTGAGCCGCACACACATTCCACTGAAGGCTTTGGTGATTCCCTTGAAACGTGTGAATTTGAGAGGTGCAGTGTACATGAACCAGTGTTCAAACAAAATCATTGTGCCCCGGCATTCACCGCAAAAATGTGGTCTTGGGTCGTTCTTTAATATCATCAGAAGTTAAGAAGACTTGCCAGTAACGGTTTCCGGCATTTTATAGTAAATTTCAGTAATTGTCTACATGTGGAATTCCCAATATTAAATAAAATTAATGATTGCATCCAAAACTTTGCCAGCTGTTTGCTTTTTAACAATACCTGGGCCGGGTTGTTCAAAGCTGGGTTAAGATAACCCAGGCGAGGAGGGTTAGTGCGAAATTTGAACTTCATTTGCCAACAAGTTGATGATTAGACGCTCTTAAAAATAACTGAACAAATTATCCAAAGAAATGTTTTTTTAACAAACGAAAAAGAAACCCGGGTTAAGCGCTGATCGGCCTTCAAACAACTACGCCCTGTAGAACATCTATGCGCCAATAACACCAAAAGTTTTCTTTACACGCCCGAAGAAGCACTCAGGCCAGTGTCTCCTCAAAGAACAAGCACTTGAGACGTACCGTACGATATCACGCTGATCACTAGCCTTCAAAACCTTTTCATTATGACACACAGTTTAAATCGAGGTTTCGCTGTACGCAACCCTTACGTTCAAAATGTGCCATAATCATAGTTATCTATCGCAAGAACCATCCACCCTGTCCTCTCAACTGCTTCCTGTACGCCTAGCAAACATATCGAACGCACTTTCCTAAGCTCCGATTACTCCTAGTGATAATAATAAAAATTTTATACGTTTTATACTTGGAGAAGGAACGACATCATCTTCGTGGTCATGGGAAGGTCTAGCCTTTAACAGAGCGAAATAAGTACCTTCTCCCTCTGTATTTTTAAGATCCTGAGTATTAGTCCGGTGCCTTGAATCGAACCGGCAAGCTCGCGCTCCTCCCTCTCCCTCGGTCCCGGCAATAGACCTCTCTAGCTTGTTTGTTTTGTTTTCCCAATAGAGGTCACGTGTTAATACTCTAGAGAAATGTTTGTTACAAATTTCGTCTCATTCAAGTGCATATTTGCGCATAAATTATGAAAAGACAACGGGTTAAGTTCTCCTGGGACCTCTATTGGGGAAACAGAACATACGAGCTAAAGAGGTCTATCGATCTCGCGACCTTCCGCTCCTACCTTCCACGCGTTCCAGTACCCTCAGCTCCTACCTTCCAAACGGTCCGCAATCCTAATCTTCAGGTTGTTATGACGCATGCGTCGCATGTATGTAGTCAGCATTCGTTTGGACTTCCACTAAGAATGTATGGAATGCACAGAACGCACTTTGATCTCGCGCGTTTGGACTTTCTATCACTCGTAATTTGATCACACATGTTTTGAGACTTAAGCAAAGCACAGCGCTGGAGTAAAAGCGTTTTGTCCTTCTATCGTTGTCGCCAGCATTCCGTAATCTTTGGTTATTACTAGTAGTATTTATTAATACTAAAACCGGGAGGGGGAGGGGGCGAGAGAAGAGACGAGGTCTGGGACCGAGAAACGATGTTCTCATAACTTGCAAAGCGGTCACCTTGCGTGGTGGTCAGCGTATAATTGCAGTATTTTTCCCACAGTAAATATTTTATAAGCGTGAAGCGAACCGGCAGAGGAAATTAGATAATTCAAATAATTGAAAAAAAAAATACCATGCCTCTTTGCTTTTTTCGCACATCGTATTTGTCCTTTGGTCCTGAAATTGTAAAACGAAAACGACAGTCACTGCAATCGTGTAAATTCTTAAACCGGTAACAACACGCGCTGGACATTGAAAAGTTAAAGAAGCTATGATGCTGATAAATATTACTGGAGAAAGTGTCAAATTTATCGGAAGTAAAGTCTATTCAAGAGAGCTTTATAAATATGAGCGTACGTACCTGAATAAACAGATTCACCCTTCGAATTCACAACAACAGTGGTAACAATCCAGGCATAGTCAATCGATAAACCGATAATCGATATCAATCGATAGCAATCGATAACAATCGAAGATTGATATCGATTTCCGATAGAAATCGATAACGATTGATTTATCGGATGTTATCGATTATTATCGATTGTTATCGGAAAAGATTGTTGTCGTTTTACAAGTTAATCATCGAAACAATGTTGCCTGTATGGTTTTATTGAGTCATTCAATCATCATAGCATGCAATAGGTTTACAATTATCAACAAAATACTATACGAACAAAAACAATAACAGGAACGTTTGGTCTTTTTATCGATCTTCAGCTTCAGCGCAGTTCAGTTTTCTTTTTTGTTAGTTCAATAACCACACAGCAGTTCAATAAGAACGCAACAGATCAATAACCACACCAGTGGTTCAATGACCACACGTTAGTTCATTGAGCGTAAACTACATGTAGCTGCAATTAGCCACAAATACGTTTGTTATTTTTAATAAGAATGTATAGCATTAAGTAAGTGGTAAATACAAATTTAGCTATGGTACGAGAACTAAATAGATAAATAGCTATGTTGCACTGTTATTAAGTTCTAGTGAGCTCACTAATATAGACGGGAACATAGACTGATGTTAATATAAAAATTTTAGTCTGCTCAGAAGGTCTGTCATTCTCATCAGGGGCACAGTGAACAGACCTGGAAAGAGAGTCAGCGCTCAAAAGGGAAAGCCAACTCGGTCCGGAGAAAACTATAACTAAAAGCCCGACAAAGCGCGCGTAGATAAGGCAGAAAAAAAAAATAAACAGTTAACGGTGGATGAAACCTTGTGTTTTCACTCTCTTTCCACACGTTTCAAACCGTGGTACCACAGCTGGTCTTACGTGCCTGAGTTGACTACCATCAATCCATATTTAAAAATAGTTATTTTTTACCGTACAAGTCCTGAACTTCCAACTTTCTTGGTTGTTTCAAACTTGAAAGGCCGCTGCTGATCCTGATCATATTTCAAAAATCTGCTTTCGATACGATGATGTCTGTCGAGTGTATCGATTGAGTTCCGATATCGATTTCTATCGATTGACTACGCCTGGTAACAATTCACCCCGTTTAATACGATCACCTTGAATTCAAAGTTAAAAGTCAAAACGATCCTAATTGTTGGTTTTCACATGACGTCACTAAAATTCAAACTAAAAAACTATCGATCCTACCGGTGCACGGTGCATTAGAGCAGTTGAAAACTAATTTTCATACAGATTTTCGCTTCAAAAGGGTCTTGGTTTTGTGATAGAGTACGCTTGAATTCCTAAGCTTTTGCGTGACGCGGCATTTACATGACGGTCAAGAGAGCTGTCATGTAGGTTAAAAAAATGACATTCAGGAAAGTTTGCTATCTAAACAGTTCATGTATTAGAAAAAGTATTTCTTTAATGTTTATGAGTTTCTCGAAGAATAAATTCACGCTTTTGTAGCAAAACTCGGTAACAGATGTTTCTGTTGGTTTCCGTCCGCCATGTTGGAGCTCATCCAGGTGAGCACCAGCATAGCGTCTCCATACAAATCTCTTTAAGTTTGGGTAACACATTTCTTCGGATATCTCGTATACGAAATATTCCTCTGACCTGAATCTTGGCGAGGCTGTGTACCTCCTTTCATTTCCTATAGATTCTGGACTTTATCTATTGAACAGTTTTGATTTTTATTTTGATCTATTTTGAATGGCGTGACACTGAAAACCAGCAATAAACAAATGACAACTATTACTGAAAGCTGTGTACCTTGAAGCGATCCTCGATAGCTCGACTCTTTGGTGGTTCTTATCAGCCATATGTTGCACATTCTAAACTCTGAGAAGGAAACTTGTTTAAAAGAAAGAGCTAACCATATACTATGTCTGAAAAGCAACATAAAATCAATAAATTTGCGAATTATCAAAATAGAAAAGTGAGAAACAGTCCCGCCCTCGACCGCCATGTTTTTGTTCCTTCTCAAAAACCGTTATCTTTGGTTTTTGACATAATGCGCATGATCAGTACACAAATCCGCTGGCAACACCCTTGATGATCGCTTTGCAAGTTGTGAGAACATCGTTTGAATTTCATTTAAGGGAATCTATGGGAAGTAGCTCCCCCCACCCCCCCTCCCCCTGACTAAAACCATCACTAATGTTTTGTTTGTTTTAACACTGTCAGATACAATGCGAAGTTAAAGCAAAGTACACTACCATGAAAGCAAATCTGTGGTCCGAGCCCATGTCCCTTTTAAGGCCATTTTTTGCTGGTATTAAGGTAAAGAAGCTGCTGTTGGCAGAAATTCAGAATCTTGAAGAATGACTGGCTTTCTTTTCATTTTTCTTTATTTGGTTTGGTTTTCTTTTAGTACAGGAAAATGGAGCAACATTGTTCAAATTAGTGTTAAAAGCACGAAATTTTGCAGAGATATAGAGGTCCATGCCCTGAGTAAATCTGGATAGGACGTCACCATTCCAGATAGAATACTTCCAGTTTTATAACCATGGAATTATTTATCATTTAAACAGCAAAAACACAGCCTTAAAGTTAAAGAATGGGTATGAAATTTATAAGAGATAAGATACAATGTAGTGCACAGTGCTATCCATTGAACCACGCCTTCTGATGGATGCTTCCAGAAATAAAGACGAGGAATACATTATAATAAAAATACGAAAATTATGCACTGTTCAAGCTTGTACATACTTAAACTCTTGTGTATGGATTGATGTTATTGTTATAAGCAACTCTAGATAGGAAGTCACGCCCCTTTTCAAGTATATGTACTTCCAGTTAAACAGCTATGGAATGGATTATACATAAAAAGGGCTGGAAAATATCGTTTCTATGGTGTAATCAAAAGATTCAAAAAGTCACCGTGATTGCCTACATTGCCGTTTGTATTTCTACGGATAGAAATAAAGGGTAACAAAAATATGCCTACACGCGTCATAGTTCTATACTTCCATCTCATCGATAATATTTCCATGCAGTTATTGTCTAAAATAATTCCACGCCTTTATTGAGTACTTTCAGTTGTACAGTCAAAAAATATAACCCTACACTTTTTTCCGAGCTAAGGCTTTGAATGGTTTTTCGTGGGTAACACAACCCCTTCTCTCTTTTCCTGGCTATGTTATAAGGTTCCTCTATTAATGAAATCAAAGCTCGATCTTAGAAGCCGGCGTGCAGAACGTATGCCAAATTCTAAACACCAAAGGCATAGAGTATGCCACATAAACCTGATATGATCTGCGATCTGCACTTCTGTCCGATGCCATTTATTTTACTTTTTAACAAAACAAAACATGAGTCCAAAGTTGGCGTTACAAATACTGTATAATCTTACTCAAACAGCAGCAGTTCAACATGTTTTTAGTCACCTTAAGACGAATCGACGAATGGTCATTGTCGCTCACGTTATCCTCTGCACTTGCACAGGGCAGTATATGGAAGATGTGACTTAACACATTTGCATCGCCTTTTACATCCCTTCTCAGACTAACAGCTACATTCCAGCAACAGTTCAGATACCTTGGACGCCTCTGGAAGTAGTGTCCAGACAGGCTCCCACTGGCCGCTTGAAGATTGCTGCCAAACCCAATCTGATGGAGACGAGAGATTTGGACTGGCTATGAGGGCCTGACCCCAGCAATGACCTGTCATGTAGGCTGCTCGCTTAACATGCTGCAGGAGAGCAGCAAACGTGGGTGGAATTGCGTTCATTCTAGTTCTTGTGGGAATAAATCCAACCTTGCTTCATTTGCAGAAACACAGTTACTGGTTCTGTCGTACATTAGAGCTACGAGGCGCTCCAGGAAGGAAAGGGTCTCGTAGACTGCTTCAGTGTTGGGGTTATTTTTGGGAGTATAGCAAACGCTGGAGTAACATCGATCCTCATGGACCTTCCATGTGTCCCAAGCAGTTTTCCTGCATTTATTAAAAGGACTAGGCTTTGATTACACCCGGTGAGGGCATGAAATGCCGGTAGAGCTACGCTTTTCTGAGGACCCAGAACAGCTGCAATTTTGTGAACCTCGATACAGCGGAATGCCTTGCCAGAGCCAAATGTAATCCATATTTCGCTGGCGCTGAGCCGCCGGAACACAGAAATAGCTATAACAACCACGTCGGTATGAACTGTATCAAAAGCCTCTTATTGCGTTCCCTTACTGAATCCAGGCAGTGAACAAAAATTCTCCCATCGGCTTCCTCGTGCGTGCATGCTAAGAAATTACTTATATCACCATTTGGTTTGCTTACCACTGACTGGTCGTAAGATGATATTACCTTCTTATCAAAACAGTAAACGGTCGAGCACATCGTTGCCAAGAACCTGAACAGTTCCTTTTTGTTTTCGCCTACCCTGAGGAATCCATCCCAGTTCGTTGGTATGGGACTGTTATGCTTAACTCGCCTTTTTTATCCCGTTGCCTCGCTTCTCCCTGGTTGGCATTATAGGCATCCCAGACAATGTCTATCCTTTTGACATGAATTTTCAGCTACTGTTGCACATAGCTCAGAAACACTTCTTCCCCGTATTGCTGGAAAGTTTTACAATGCCCAGGCTTCAACATGTTAACATTTGCCATACCATCTATAAGGGAAGATAACTCTCATAGGATGGCGAGAGCTCCTCAACGTATTTAGCTAGATTAGACTTAGCGCACGAGTGCATCCTTTCAAACTTGGCTATGCGTGGTTTTCATAACCAAAAAAATCGCTCAAGTCTGCTCCACGGATCTGGCAGCTGATAAAAGACTACGTTGTTGTTATTTTTCTTTGTTGTCGGCTTACTGAACTATGGAAGGTTGGTCTTATGAATAGGCTCAAATAAAGAAGTTTCTTGTTATGAGTAAGAGATCGAGAACACACATCCACTTCGTAAGATAGCAAAGTTTATTCTCTAAGAACTCGACACGTCTTGGTACAAATCACGTGATCTTGTTACAAAGTTCACCCAATTTTTCCCCTTCCTAAGCTACCTGTTCTCTTTACAAATCATATTACTAATAATAAGTGCGGCTGGAATACGGAGTAAATAGTAACTCAAGTTTGAATAAACATTAAGTTATAAATCTGCTAGTACATGATATAGTCTTTATGCCAACCTGGAATGCACTTAGCCCGCTTAGAGCGACGAAGACCTGAAGACTGACTGTTGTCGGTAGTTGTCAGTTCCGACTCAGCATAAGACTCTGTACTAGGCAAGTTTACATCACATTGGTCAATTATAGAATCTGAGTCATCATTTAGGTACTCGCTTAGAGTAGTAGGTGGTTCCTGAGTAAGATGAATTTGACGTCTATTTCTACGGTACTCTTTACCCGTCTCATCAGTAATCACATAAGATCTGGAAGCCTCATGTTCACCCTTAACTACAGCAGGTGCTAAGTGTTTGTCACCTGGTTTCCTGAACCTTACACTATCCCCTTCCTTAAGTGGGGCTAACTGTTTGGCACCTCGATCATAGAATTCCTTGTACTTAGCTTGACGTCTTTCAAGTAATAAGTGAACATCCTTACAGACTTGTGGCACTAACTTTCTGGGGTGGACTGGAACCTGTGTACGAACTTGCCGGCTGAACAACATTTGGTTGGGTGAGTAAGGAAAATTACTTCTTGGTGTATTCCGATACTCCATGAGACCTTCATTTAGGTTACCTCCTTTCCTTAACATGTTTTTGACAATGTGTACAGCCTTTTCTGCAAGGCCATTTGACTGGCTATAAGTGGGAATGATTGTTGTGATTTGCATGCCACATCTATAAGCATATTGCCTAATTTCTCTGGAGTTGTAGGGCATGTTGTCGGCCACTAGTGTTTGGGGGTATCCATGCCCGGAAAAGATTTCATTAAGACCCTGAATAACATCTTGACTTGCTTTACCCTTGAGTTGGAGTGCCTCAATGTACTTTGAATAATAATCAATGACCACAAGATAGTTTTGATTTTTGTGCTCTAAAATATCTGAAGCAACTGTCTGCCAGAGTAATAAAGGGACATCGCGAGTTTGCATGGGTTCTTTGGGTTGTTTGCTCATGCATTTTTCACAGCTTGAAACCATTAACTCTTCAATATCTTTAGTCATGCCTGGCCAAAATACTGTCATTCTTGCACTGGCTTTGCCTTTTTCAATCCCACAGTGACTCAGATGTAATTTTTGGAGAATATCTTTTTTCCATGGGGATGGGATAACAAGCCTATTATCCTTGAGTAAAATTCCATGTGTGACATGAATATCATTTCGCACATCCCAAAAGGACTTTAGAGATGTGTGTACATCAGACTTATGAGCAGGCCAACCCTGTAAAGAGTATTGGTGTAACATTTGCATGGTTGGATCACTGAAATTCAAATCTTTTAGCTGCTTCAACTTAACATCTGAGATGGGGAGACTAGACACAACACTATGAATAAAATACTCCATGTCTTTATGCATGTCACTGTCACTGGGCATACTGGACTCATTGCATGCCCTGGAGAGGGTATCAGCAATGTATTGAAACTTTCCTGGGACATACTTAACTTTAATGTCATACTTCTGTAAACGCAGCCTCATTCTTTGTAAGCGGGGAGGAACTTAAATCGAGGCTTTTTAAAGATACTTTTGAGAGGCTTATGATCCGAATGCACTTCCACTTCAGCTCCATGAGTATAAATATTAAATCTCTCACACCCAAAAACAATTGCTGGCATTTCCTTTTCCATGGGTGCGTAATTTATCTCTGAATTTGATCAGGCACGTAAGGCATATGCAACTGGTTGACCTTGTTGCATCAGACATGCTCCTAAGCCATCTTTGCTAGCATCAACTTGAAGTGTGGTTGGTAAGTTGGTGTCATAAAAACGTAAAACAAGGGCACGACTCAAAACTGTCTTGATTTTGGTGAGTGCAGAATCATGTTCAGCGAACTATGCCCAGGATACATCACCCTTTGAGTAAGGATCGTAAAGGGTCAGTTAATTCTGACATGTTGAGAATATACTTGGTAAGATAATTAATCATGCCCAATAACCTCTGTAAGTCTTGCTTGCATGAGGGTGTGGGCATGTTATGAATAGCCGAAATGTTTTCTGGGTCATGTGAGAAGCCCAGTTCACTAACAACTTCACCCATATACTTGACTTGGTTAACAGGGAATTGCATTTTGTCACGGTTGAACTTAATATTACATTCTCTTGCTCTTGTCAGAACCTTGGGGAGGATCAAATCATGTTCTTCTTCACTTTTACCACCAATGATAATATCATCAAAAACTGGTAACGCACCTGAAATATCACCGAAATGTTCTCAACCATTTTTTTGTGCAAGCTCGCCTGCACATAAAATACCAAATGATATTTGTTTGAGCTGAGACCTGCCAAAAGGTGAGTTAAAAGTGCACAAAAATGGAGACTCCTCTGTAAGCTTTTGGTGCCAGTAACAGTTCGACATGTCAACAACTAAGAAAACCTTGCAACCATGAGCGTGTTTGAAATAGTTTCAAAACTTGGGGGTTTGAAATCCTCTCTTTCTATGGTCTGATTAAAGTCAGGTGAGTCTAAGCATAGTCTCAGGGTGTTATTTGCTTTCTCGACTATAACTAAATTACTGACCCAATCAACCGGTTCTTCTACTCAAGTGATAATATCCCTTCTTTCTAAATCATCAATAGTGGCTTTGAGTTTATCCCTTAACCTGAGGGGAACATTCCTTTGTTGTTGAATGGTAGGTTGACTATTAACTTTCAGTTTGATGGTGTATTTACCCTCTACACACCCAAAACCTTCCAAATCATCCCGAAACTCATTTAAAATAGCGGGTTCTTGTTGAACTTCATTGATATTAGGACCGATTTGCTCTATCTTGCAATTCAAACTGATTAGCTCTAAGGCCAAACATGATTCTAATCCCAGTAGGGGTCTCACATTATCCTTGATGACATGATATTTTAAAGGTATCGAATCCTTTACCCCATTTACCCTTGTTGGGAGAACACATGTTCCCACGGTATCTAATTAGTGCCCACCAAAAGACTTAAGTAACATGCTCGTGGGCTCTATTCGAGCGTTTAACTCACTCGCTAGATGCATAGACATTACGTTACATTCCGCACTGGTATCAAGTTTAAATGTTACATGAGTGTCATTAACTACTAAATCTGACTGAATGTTCCTTCTAGAACTACCTTGAATTGCTTCGATTTACAGTCCCTCTAATGATTCAGACTCTTCATTTGACTCCACTTCAAAGTGACGAATTCTTCTTTCTTCGATGTTGGTTTTTGATTTCAGACAACAACGTGCATAATGAGTTCGCCCATGACATTTGTGGCACGTGTCTTCATAGGCCGGGCAGTTTCCTCTGTTGTGAGCCGATCCACAAATTTGCATTTGACTATCTTCCTCCAACCCTCTGTCTTCTCAGTTTCCACTGTTGGTGATGTTTTCTTTACTGTCTCAACGCTACTAGTCTGAGCTGTTGGCGCGTCGAAGATTTTCGATTGTTTGTTGGATTGTTCCGTGATTCGACAAAGCTTGATCGCCTTCTCAAGTGAGAGGTCCGTTTCACGGAGTAGTCGCTAGCGCAGTTTAGGTTCGTTAATGCTTACCACAGTTTGATCTCGAATTAGGGAATATTTTAACGCTACAAACTCGCAATATTGAGCTCTTTGTCTGAGATCCTAACAAATACATCGACTGCGCGATCTTCCTGTGACGTCGTTCGAAAAACGTATCGGTCGTAGATTGTGTTTTTACGCGGGATGCACTACGTCTCCAGCGCTGTCAAAATACCTGTCACAGTTCTTTCCTCAATATCAGCTGGGACATTCGGTAATGTTTTTAGGACTCGCCTAGCTTTCGTTCCCAGTATACTCTGAATGGTCGCTATATGCACCGAATCATCTTTGTCCTGAAGACCGCTCAATATTCGATACAACTTCCATGCTTCTGACCATTCCTACCACTCGTCCGCGAGGTGAAGACTCTCAATATCCAATTCTGGAGGAGGTTTGATTCTTTCCATTCTGATTGACTTTTCGTCGGAGTAAGAGATCGAACTTATTGGTAAAGCACTCCTGGTACCATGTTATGAGTAAGAGATCGAGAACACACATCCACTTCGTACAAGAGCAAAGTTTATTCTCTAAGAACTCGACACGTGTTAGTACAAATCACGTGATCTTGTTATAAAGTTCAACCAATCATAACATTTCTCGTTTGGCAAGCCGACTTTCAACGAGGGCGTCAAACGAGTCCTTGGCCAATGCGCTTGCCTTTATTAAAAGTTGAAACAACACTTGAGTTAGCGACGTATCGGGTATGCAATACTATAAGATCAAGACTTGGCTGCCTGAACGGGTTCCCCAATTCATTCAGGGCCTTACAAAGGCCATTTGCCTAGAACCGAAAAGTAAGTGAATAAGACGATGTCGCAAAGGATGCGCGGGTTATGGATTAACTCCATGACTTCTCAAGTGGTAGTACTTTATAAAGGGCGTTGCATAATTTATGACATAATGAGGGCATTGAAATATTATTGTCGAGATGGAAGTATAGAATTATGACATGTGCAGGCACTTTTTGTTCCCATTTGTACACTTCCAGTAATACCAATGCAACCTTTATTTATCTGTAAGTATCCACTAAAAGGCGTGGTTTCATCCATAGAAATACACATTGCAATGTAGCTTATCATGGTGACATTTTTTAATCTTTTGATTCCACCCTAGAAATGTTGTTTTTCTGCGTTTATGTATATAATCCATTCCACAGCTGTTCAACTGGAAGTACTTGAAAAGGGGCGTGACATCCTATCTAGAGTTATTTATAAAATTAACACTTATCGATAAACAAGAGTTAAAGTATGTACAAGCCTCAACAGTGCATAATTTTCGTATTTTTATTATAATGTATTCCTCGCCTTTATTTCTGGAAGTATTTATCAGAGGGTGTGGTTCTACGGATATCACTTTGCACTACTCTGTATGTTTCTGCTCTTATAAATGTCGGACCCATTATTTACCTTTACCATGTATTTGCCGTTTTAAATGATAATTAATTCCATGGTTATTAAACTGGAAGTATTCAGTTTGGGGCGTGGACGTTGTATCTAGAATTAATTGTAACATTAACATCAATCCATAAACAAGAGTTTTTAGTATATACAAGCTTAAACAGTGCATTAATTGTACGCGTACTTTATATTAAACTTGTAAGACTCAAGTCTACATATTAGAGCTTCATAAAACCAGTGAATTCTGAAGCCACAGAGAATCACATCATCCACACTACAATTTCTCGATAAAGGCTGCTTTAATTGATTATTTTTCTGTTTTCGTTTCTGTTTCCTGCATGTCTAACAGCCATTTGCGAACATTTTCTTAAAGTGTTGTGTTAAGTTGTGTGTTGGACGACTGATAGTAATAAATATAATGAAAACTTTCGTCGTGAGTTGCCCTCACCTTGCACATGGCACGATTATACCAGTCTGTTAGTGCAACAATAAGTAAAAAACATAAGCTTAATCACTTAAATTACCAGGCAAAGTTTCTTCAATCTTGGTAGATCAAGCCTGACTTAGTTAAAGAAGGTCTGCTTTTTTCACAAGAATACCTGAATCTCTGTTTAGTGATCGCTGATGATTAGGGTAAACCGTTTTCTGTAAGCTGGAAATAGAAATCTTCCAATGATAACAAGAGGATCGATCGAGTTCGCAGCACTCCTTTTCAATCTACTTCGAATCTGGATGACAGGAACGCTATATCTCTTTAACTCGACGATATCATCGACCATTTAGGAATTATTTCGCCGCTTGCACTTGTACTGTCCTTGAACTTTTCTTCTTCCCAGCCATTTTGTTACTTTTTGGTTTCAACTGAGAAGATTCATAAGTCATATCTTTAGCGTAATGAGCGCAAACAAGACTCTGATGCGGTGTTACGTGACAACGGCAATACCGTTGATTGCACGTCATCAGGAGCAGACAATCACCTTTCATGCATTCTTCGGCCGTTGGGAGGCCGTTGGAAGTAACCGTTGAAGGTATATCATTGTGGACAGAGGTTATCAAACTGAAAGGATTTACCTACTTGTTTAAGGTTTGTATATAATCCACCTTCTGTTGCCTTAATCGATTTAGTCATAATGTGGGTTCTTGTTCTTTTTAAATTTGTGTTGAACCGGGTCTTGAACAAGGCGGTCCCAACGCTCAGTGTGACATTCACTAAGAGTTAACTCTAACATGCCCAGTGACCTTCAATAGTTTAACTCTGATGATCAAGCTTGTCTTAAGTGATAAGAATGCCTATTATTGTTTGTTCACTTTTGAAAGTTCTATGGGAAACTTATTCTTTAGCGCAACTATCTGAGTGAATGATAAATAGGAATTTTAGCGAAGAAGATCTTGTCACAATGAAGAGGTTTTGTGGCTGATGATGATCGAAAAAAGGGTTAAGTTAAATAGGTTTAATCAGTGACTGATATATTTTTTCTATTAGCGTATTTCATTTCTTACTTCATGTTTCTTTACTTTTTTGAATGAAAAACGATTCATGTGAGGCGACCCTTATAGTTTCCGGAGCGGCTTAAACTTTGTGGTTTTTGACTAAGCCTTGGTGCTCGTGGAATGCGCCGCCTTTTCCGCTAAGATAAGATAAGCAAAAATTTAAAAGCACGGAATTGTCTTACTGACAACAAGAAAAAGATGTTTGAGTTTGGTTTTAAACGATTAAATTGCTTTTCTTTTATTGCTAGCTATAATTGTTCTTGTTGAGGGGAAACGGTTTATGGCTCATCTTGGATAGGTCCACCGGCCATATTCATAGTTTGGCCGATAAATGTAAACAATACTCCTCAATATGGCATAATTTTATTCCCTTAATTGGCACAATGGTTGACACACTCTCGAACAATAATTGACGTAGCTAGCAGTGTTCTAGTTGTTACTATAAAGTGTTAACCTTCAATATTTTAATATTGCTTATTTGCAGGGCAAAAGGAGAAAAAAAGGCAGGAGGATCAAAGCCTTCCGATGTAAAGAAGGTGCTGGTGGCGCAGACTGAAGCTCAGTTGTTACAATACTAAAGTTGTATCAAATTTTATGTTCAAGTTTGATGTGAACTTTTTTGATGGAAATAGAATCCTTATCCTGGCTACAGGCAACAGTCATAATGTATTGCAATATAATGTATGACTTGCATAATAGTTAAACTTAATTGTGATCCCCTTTTCTGATCTTTTCCCTAAACTATTTAAGCACTATGCTGCACGTTTTCTGTCTTAAGTATATTCTAAATTACTTTTTTGCTTCCTGATCCCTCTTGTTTAAAAATATATCGTCACTAAGATTTTTCAACTTATCACGCACCCGTACAACCACTATAGCTATAAAAAACTGAGTTAAATGCCGCCCGATCCAGTACTACTTTTTAGCCATGATTATAGGTCTACATCTAGTTTACTGCTATCCAAACACTACTTTTAGCTATCAGAAATCTAGCTTAAGCTATCCAAACACTACTTTTTAGCTAGTTGTCAGACATCTAGTTTATTGCTATCCAAACACTACTTTTTAGCTAGTTGTCAGACATCTAGTTTATTGCTATCCAAACACTAGTTTTTAGTTATCAGACATCTAGTTTATTGAAATCCGAACACTAGTTTTTAGTGTTCAGACATCTAGTTTAAAGCTATCCAAATCTCTCAACTTGTTTACGTCTAGTTTATGTATTGGCCATTTTTTCATGTCAATAGCTAGTTTACGTCTATCTAATGCCTAGTTTCTAACTATCCCAATGATTTCATTATTGGCAAAAACGTATCTGAAAACTAGCTTCTTAGCCAATGAAAAGCTAGTTTTACTCTATCTTATGTATGTCCAAAAGCTAACTATTGTAACAATGTAAAAATTTCATTTTTAAGGTAGTATTAAGATAGCCTATCTGCATGGTTCCAAATAACTAGATATTAGTTATGATTAAGATAGGCTTAATTAGTTAATAGTAGCTATACAGGGCCTGAAGATAGGAATAAACTAGAAACGAGATAGCTTGTAGATAGTTTCATTAACTAGCTTTAAGTGTCTCATTTCGTAAGGGTAACTTACATATTTTTTTTAATAACGTATTCCTTGTCTTTATTTCTGGAAGTATCCATCGGTTATAAATTTCGGACCCGTTCTTTAACTTTAAGGCTGGTTTTTTTGCTGTTTACATAATAATTAATTCCATGGCTATAAAACTGGAAGTATTCAATTTGGGGGGTGGCGTCCCATCCAGAACTACTCAGGGCATGGACCTCTATGCCTCTGCCAAATTTCGTGCTTTACTCATTAATTTGAACAATGTTACATGTTTTCTGCACCATTTTCCTGTACTATTTGGGCTCAAGTCTCTTTTGGGAATTTCGAGACAATGAAGTCTTGAAAAATTTGCAATTTTGACCCTAAAGCCTCCGAGTTAAGTTAGAATTTTAATATATCGAATGTGGGCTATTAAAGTTAAATGGTAGATACATTATTTGAATACGTGGAAAATTCCGTCAAAGCGAAAAACTTGTACAAAAAACCACGCTCATTTCACCAGTTTTAAATTAGAATTGGATGCAAGCATAGGTGTTAAATGCAATTTCTCCAGAATGAAACACTCCTCCCTATACGAAAGAAGGGTCACAGAAAGGGCTATATAAATGATTGGGAACTAACATTAAGACCTTCAAAACATAAATGTTTCGTTTTAGTTTAACCCGGATTACCTTGACTCAAAAGGTCCGTTCTCAGAATACTAGAATGGATGGCGGTCTTTTTTCTAGGTGCTTCGCGCCTTGCTGTCGCGGTTTTGTGCCAATAATTAGGAATCAGGTACACTTCTGGCACCCATGGTAAACTCGAATTGAACAGAACACCTTAATTCTCCCTATTTTTCAGGTGACTCCTTCCGTTCTTACAATAGATGAATGCAAGGATCCTTATAGCGTAAGCATCACTTTAAAGCCGACGATACCAGTTCGTGTTTTTGAAGGCCTGTCTGTGAGACTTTACCTCTCTGCTGGTTTGTTGGTGGGAAAAGATGAGTGTTCGTTTATTCTTAAAGGAATGAAAGAGGTAAAAGTGAATGTAAGAGTGGCCTGCCATATGATGCGTGATCCACAAGCCGGTAGATGGAAAGCGATTAGTCCTAAAATCACCAACGTTCAAATGCTGCTTCCTAACTTTTGGAAATACGTTGACCTGCCAATAGTCCCGGTGAGTGCTTAATACAATCACACCTCCCCGGCGTAAGCGACCGTCTAACTTGTGAAGATTCAGTCGTGGCTAATACGGAAGGTGGTCGCTTACAAGAATAAAACCACAGAGCGTCTTTCCCCAGTAGGGGTCCCGACACGACACATGCACTTTTTGAAGGAGGACTTACAGCATGCAATTATCAATACGCTATGTTAACCTTCGCGGTTTTGTCAATTAAAGTTTTTTGTATACTCTGAGTAGCGTAGTACATACAGCGAATATAGGAATCAGATCGTGCGTCAAGAGGTAAAAACAACAGGAAAAAGACGGGTCGCGGCCGTTTACGAGAGGTTCCAACTATGATAATTTTGGTGGAAAAATTTTGGTGTTTTGGTCAGAAAGTCAAAAAAAGTTCCAAGAAAACATTAATAGGTAGTATAGCTATTAATAGGTACGATCAATGGCGCTGTTATATATTACTTGAAGACGCTGTTGGATCTAAGACGAAAAGAAGATAGTTTTCTGGATAGCAGTATACATATGTATACACTACCCTCAGCTCTTAAATAAAATCCCTTAGATAGTACTGCACAATGCCTTATAGATGCCTTATGCTTCATCTGTATTTTCTTACACAGCTTGCGTATGAAAACACTATGTATAGTGTGTTAATATTCCATAAAGTTCGACTGATTGATTGAAACATATCCTTAGTATAGGATAGTTAGGATTTAATGATTCGTTTATTCATCATGATGTACATCAGAAAGGATTTATGTTTAATTTTATCTTATGTGAAAGAAAGTTTATTAGCATCATTTTGCCGCAGACTTCGTTAGTCTTCATGACATGGGTTGAAACATTTTTTTTTCTGTCATGATTTGCAGGTAGTTGTGCGTCAGAGTATAGGAGAAATCTATAAATGCAAGAGTATTACAGATCCTCATTACCGCTTGCTCAATCTTGAAAGCAGGTACACCTTATCTGAAATACTACCAGTACACAATAGATCGAGGTGTATCCAGGGGCGGAACAGCTTAACAAAATTTTGGGTGGAACTGAGCTCATGTAATCGCATGTTGACGAGCGTGAAATTGCATCTAAAACAAGTACCAATATCTTTCACGGTCCCGGGCATGCAAAATTGGCATTAATTCAACCTATCTACGTAGTTTTTCATATAGAAGCGTTGCTTCGCCTTGTTAGTGTTCACTGCGACTTAAGGTCACTCGACCCAGTTACCATCCCACTTTGAAGCTCTCTGGCATCCCCACCTTTACTTTGATCGTAAGTCTAACATAT